GCTCCAAAAATAATCAAAATTATTTTGTTAATTTTAAACTTGGTGAAGGCTGAAACACCAACATCAAAAATATTCAACTTTATTTAATTTTGCTAAATATTGCAGGTTTTGTGGTTTTTCTCCTCTCATAAGATATTTTAAGACAAAACAGGCATAAAAAACACAGAAAATATAAAAAAATATGAAACTTTATATCTATGGATTAATCTGAAGTTACGAATATTGAGTTGCTGTTTAAACACGACAGTTTGGGAGAGAGAGACTCCAGGAGGGTGAAGGAGCTGCTGCTGTACTAACTCACTCTCTCTCTTTCTCTCCTCTCTCTCTCTCTCTCTCTCCCCTCTCCTCTCTCTCTCCCCCCTCTCCTCTCTCCCTCTCTCTCTCTCTCCCTCAGATTAATCGTCGCTGCGTCGGAGACGCTGCGTGAATATTAAACGCCTTCATGAGTGAAGCGGCGTGGAGAATACTAAGGGCGTCCATTAAGGCGCCTGCGTGTCTCAGACCCGTTTGTCCTCCTGCAGAACTCTGCAGGCAGCAGCGGGTGGGGGAGGGGCGAGCGTCTTCAGACTATAAATAGCGGGATTGGGGTTAACGGGGAGGAGGGGGTTCGGGGTTTGGATTGACGTCATGAACCGTTCTCCTCCAAGCAGCTTCCTCTCCTCCATCTTTTGTTCCCTTCTTTCTTCTTGCAGCTTCATCTTTTCCCCCCCCCTCTCTCTCTCTCTCTCTGCAGCATTTTTACCGTTTCAAACCGATTCAGTGATTTTATTTTTCTCAAAATGCAACGCCGCCTAGTTTCATTCATATCTTCCTCCTATGATGTTAAAAAAGAAGCTGGTTCTGCTCAGAAAGCAGGAAGGTTCTGGTCTGGTTCTGGTCCAGTTAGAGACCGTGAACCTGCAGTGAATCGACCAATCAGCCACCAGCAGAGCTGAACCTCAAACCTCCGAGTTGCTGGAAAAAACACTAAATATGACCAAGTTGGTCTTATTTCTAGTGAAAATATCTTAATATGTTTGAAACAAACAAATTTTTAAAGATATTAAAATATGAAGGACCAGTATATGATTTTCTTTTGCAGTTAAATTTTTGTGCAGGAAGGCTTTCCGTAGGAAGTTGGTTAAAATCATATTTTGAGGTTCTTTCTGCTTCTGGTTCTCAGTCACCTGGACAATCATCACCTGTGGGACCCGAATGAGTTCGCCGTGTCCTGCTTCAGAATCATCATGTTCTCCATCCAGGTAGCATTCATGGAAATACTTCAACATGTAACGTTTTAATTGTTAGTGCAGGATTTAGGAAGACGTTTCCTCATTCTGGGATGAAATCCTGGTTACTATACTTTATCAGATGAGATTGGGCTTGAATAAAAATTACTTGAATCTTGATTTTAATATGTTTAAATGTTTACTCAAATTATCAATCATTTAACATTACATAGTCAGATGAACCAAAAATATAAATTTGAATGAATTTATTTTACGTTTTAAGGACCAAAATGAAAATAATTCATATAAATAAAATCAGGCAAAAGAAAAATTTTCCAAATGAGTTTCTTCCAATAAAAAACTTTCAGGAAACCTGCAGGTGTTTTTTTCATTCAGCGGATAGAAAATCCAGAAATTTTACTGGAGTAGAAAGTACAGCATCGTAAAAGTCCTCCTGAAAATAAATATTTCCAAAGTTACTCGTTACTGCAGAAAACCGTTCACCTTCTCTCTGTTCTTAATTTTGATATTTTTTGTGTTTCTCGGACCGATCCAGGCTCAGCACTCGCACCACGTGATCCAGCAGGTTCTGACCCACCTGGACGGGAACAACAAGAGCACTCCGCGGGTCAGAGCCGGCATCGTCCAGGTTCTGCTGGAGACGGTGGCCATCGCTGCTAAAGGATCCGTGGGTGAGTCTGAAAACGTTGTGCTTCCTCAACGAGCCGCGGCGCCACCAGGAAACGTCCCGCTTCACATCGAGTAGAAACGCCGGTTCTGCAGAGAAAAGGTCCGTTTAGCCCCTTCGCTGCAGTTCGCTGGAGAAGTAAATGTAAAATTAGTCGTTTTTTTTAAAGAACCTGACATTTCTTAGGTCTCTAAGTAAATGGTTGGTTGATCAACGATGAAACTCAATTTGATTCAAACTCGCAAAAATTAAGCACTTACTTTCTTCAAAAAGACAATTATAGATGATAAAGATAAAGCTGAAGACAAAACATTTGATTTTATGCTAATTTTGTAAAAAAAAAAATCTAAAATCACATTTTTATTCCTTTCAGAATCGAAATGCTCCCGTTTGTTCCTGTAAATCGTGTTGTAATTAAATTATGTTTCTGAGGCATGAAGGTTACCACCTTGAGAACAGCAGCAGAAACAAATTAGCATTTTAATTCACCATGAAAAAATGTTTCTGTTGTTAAATGAAGGTGAAAATCTCACGCCAGAGGAAATAATTAAAAACGTTCATTAATTCAGAAAAAAGCTGTAACTTGTTTCTTCTTCCATGTTTTGGGAAAATAAAACCGAAATTCCTTGTGGACAGGAATGATCCCAGAGTGCAAAGGAAGCGACGTGTTCAACTTTGAAAGCGAAAGCCCGACTCCTCACAATCTGTGGCTCGGTACAGTACATGCAGTGTGGCTAAAATGTCTGCAGCTTTTCCCCTCGACTCGCCCGACATCAACAAGCGTCCTGGGAAAATCAGGCGATCCACACCTCATCCTGTTTGAGACAAAACTGAAGATGTAAAGATGTTTCCATTTTATCAAGTTCAGTCAGAACCATCAGTTTGGAAAAACAGAGAAATTCTCATTAAGGAGTTCAGCTAAGTAGCAAGCTAACGATTAGGCAAGCTAACGTGATCTAAAAGGCAAACTGGGAATTTAGCTGATTGTTGGGCTAACATTCACATTAAAAACCAGTTGACAGCTGAGCTAGAAACAAAGCTAAAGACCCAGGAGAAAAATTGAGCTAACAGCCAAGCTAGGAATTAAGCTAACAGTTGAGCTTAGAGCTAAGCTAGAGATAAAAACTGAGTGAAGAATGAAACCAACAACCAAACTAGTAGATGATTTTTATCTGAGCTAAGGAGCTGGATAACAGCTGAACTAACGTGAGCTAGCAGTTTAACTCAGCTAAAAACAAAAACTCAAACCACAGTTAGAGCTAGCAACCTAGCAGAACATCAAACTAACAGCTGGTTTAAGAATGGAGCTAAACGCTAACCTTACAGATGAACAATGACACAAGCTAACTGAGCTAAGAAACAAGCTAACTGTTGCTAGCTTGACTGTTAGCTGTACTAGCATCTAGATGCAGGCATTAGTGATAAATATTCCTCAGTAATTAATTTTCTGCTAAGCATATTGGACATACATGGTAACATTACCTGTGCAACATGTCAAAGTTTTAGTTCTTTATTTCCAACTCTTAACACTAATTATAAAATGATTAGCTTCATGTTTGCTCCATTTCTTTTTTCTGACTCATTTTTTATGATCATTTTTCCTAAACTGACTTAATAAATCAAAGCCAGTGACTGTTTTGTTCAGCTGGATCCCATTTCTCAAGTTTCACGTCTTCAGTTTTGTTCGGTTCTTTTACTTTAGACGTAAATTCAAGCAGCAGTGAATATTTTTAAATACTTCATCTGAATGAAATGCTTTGGATGCGTGTTGATGCCGGGTCCATGTAGAAATGCTCCTGTAATCCCAGCAGGTCTGAGTGAGTAGTTTTAGGAAAGCGGAGAGTGACCAGAAGAACCGACGGTCGAATCAAACACGGCGTCTCATTTCTGTCTTTGACATTTCAGTTTAGCCACAGATTAAAACACTGTTGGAAAAACCATCTGACGTTATCAAAGTAAACTTGTGTGATTCTTCTGGTCGCTCCTCGTTGTGAAACGGAGCCGGAGTGTCGGGAAGCTGCAGGTTAGCCGTGTTGTGATGGTGTAGCTGATAGTGCTGATGTAGATCAAGCTCTTATTTTGGAGAACCAGGTTAATGTCACATCTAAATGTTTTATTTGTTACATTTGCTTTGGAAGAACCCGTCTGTCCATTTCAAACTCTGCACACTTGGTGAATAATGTTTGTAGGGGGTTGGGGCCCCGTGGGGCCCCAGGCTGCCGGGGTGAACCAGTCAGCACTGACTGATAATCTGAGGTGTTGCTTCCTGTGACAGAATAAATTAGGCCTGCCGTCACTGTGAGCTGCACTTTTCTGCAGGTGTCTGCTCATCCTGGAGCTAATTTTAGTTTCAGAAAAAACTGAATCACATTTAAATCCCAGAACCAAAGAGCTGCTGCTGCTCATCAGAACCAAACATTTTCTAATTACTCTGGGATGAAGCTGGATTATTTTAACAGAAGCACAGATTAGCACATTTATTTATTATTCTACATTTTCTGCCATAATCTTAAAATGGCTGGTTATCTCAGTGTTAGAAAACCCCATAAATCCATCCAAATGGATGATGGACACTTTATTTTTACACAGTTTGAAAAGAAAAATCCTCCATAATTTGGATTTTGGATCAGAAAAATCATTCAGAGCTTAAATGATTCACTGAAAGTTGGATTTAATGTGACTGAATCTCTTTAACTTGTCAGATTTACTGAATGCTATTCTGTAAATGCATAAAGATGACATAACGGGACCAACCGAATGGTTCTGCTTCCCTTTTTCTAGACACAGTTTTTGTTTCCAGTAACTATTTGTTTCATTCCTCATCTCTGTTTTGTCAATAATCAATATAATACTCTGGTTTCTACCTGTCCTGTAACTCTGTTTTGTTTTTTGTTTTTTACTTTAAACTGAAGTGAAAGTGCCAGAATACACAGAAAAAGCTTTAGATATGAAACATCTCAGGAATACGTAGCATTTCAAGAAGCTCAGAGTCGTTCAGATATCTGGTTGAAATATGGGTGCAGTTAAGGAAGGACCGATTAGAAAATATGAGCCGATTCCTGATATTAATATTGCTGTTATTGTTTGAACGAGTTTGACTGGAAAAAATTTGGCAGGTTGTTAAAACTTCGTCTGATTTTCACAACATTTGGCTGGATTGTAGAAAGTGTTCAGAGGAAAATTCTGTTAGGCATTTTGTGTCAGAAAAGCACAAAGTTTTCATTAAAATGCCGTATTATTGCACTTTTATTAGTAATTTATTTTGAAATCTGGACCCTGTCGAGCATGACGTCATCATTGATTGGTCATTGGTTGATCAAGTGTCTTTATGTAGGATTATTGTAAAACGGACATGAATCATATGTGGTTCTACATCCTGGGTTCCAGCAGAAGCTGAGATCTGGGCAGGTTTCTGGAGTTTGGTGGGTTTTTCTGGAGTTTGGTGGGTTTCTCGTTGTTTCTGGGCGAAGCTGTCGGTCTCGTCCAGATCCTGTTGGGTTTTAACCTGCTGGTGTGCCGCAGGTCCGACAGTCCTGGAGGTCTTCAACACGCTGCTCAAACACCTGCGGATGAGCGTGGACTTCGAGCTGGGCGACAGCTCCAGGAGGAACTCCAGCAGCAGCGTGTCGTCGGTGCGCGGCCGCGAGAGCGACGAGCGCATCGTGCAGAACGCCATCATCCAGACCATCGGTGCGGCGGCGCGCTCCTCGCCGGTTCTCCAGCAGCGCCGCAGCTGCTGCAGCTCTGACCCGTCTCTCTGCTGCCCCCTGCAGGCTTCTTCGGTGGAAACCTGCCAGATTACCAGCGAGCCGAAGTCATGATGTTCATCATGGGGAAGGTGCCGGTGTACGGGACGCCGTGCCACACCTTGGACACGGTGAAGATCGGGTGAGTCAGCCGTTGCATCGCGGCGCCCCGGGGTTTCCGGGCCGCGCTGCAGCGGAGGCGTCTGCTCTTCATCATCATGACTCACCGCAGAGATCCTCAGCAGAAACTTTAACACAGACGGGGAAGAAAATAATTTTAGATGGACGTCCGCCTACATCCCAGTCTAGACTGAGACGAAACCTTTTACTGTCCCGCTGCAGACCGACTGGATGAAGATGAAGATCGTTTTTCCTGCTGAATCGTATCAGGAGCCGGGCGATTAACGGAGTCATCGTCAACTAATTTAGTAATCGATTAATCATTAACTGGAGCATACAGAGTCCAAAAAGGCCATTTACTGAAAGAACAACAGACTCGGAGCTGAAATTAAACCAAAACCGAACAGAAATATAAATATTTTGCATTTAAAACAAACTTGGTCTGTAAATTTCTCCTAAAGTGAATTTTAGCTTCACCTCATTCAAATTCTGTAAAAAAACCCAAAGAAACAATCGTTTTCTATCCAATTACTAATCGGTTAATAAAAAAATAAATATCAGTTTATAATAAAATGTTGATTTTCTTAAAGAAATTCAGTTATTTTTAATGTTGTAATATTGTGTAAAAAGTATTAAGTGGTTAAATGAAAAATCTGCAGAATTTGTCCAAATTTTTAATTAGATTCATTGTCAGAATAATCTATATAATAATTGATTAATCCTCAGGATAATTGATTATTAACGGTCGTTAGCTGCAGCCGTCCTTAGTCGTTCTGATGCTCTGAGGATCTTCATCGTGTCTCTGGACCCTCAGCTCTCGTTCAGAGAGTAAAACTCTCTCTCTCCTGATCGCCCCGCGGTGCCCTCAGCTGCCGGTCACCGAGATGGAAAAAGGAAAATCAAGTAAATCCATCAGACCTGAGGGGAGCAGGAAAGATGATCCCAAATCAAATGAACGCCGTTCTCCTCTTCCTCCTCTTCCTCCTGACTCAGACAGGCTTCCTTCCTTCAGCGCTGAGGTTCAAATCTGCAGCATGTCAACAATTCAATTCAACTTCACATCCTCCCAGTCCACCTTTACTATTCCACCTTAACTTGGTCTAATCCAGTGAATTATCAGCGTTCAGGGACCAGATGTTCTGAGTTACTGATCGGTTCTGTTTGGTTTCAGGCATCAGGGAACCAAGAGGATCCAGACGATGCTGCTCAGCTCCCTCATCATGGTGAGAAACTGACTGAGAGAAAAAACAAACCATCATCCTGCGACCACTTCCTGTCGTCTTCTTCTTCTTCGTTTCCACCAGTAGCATCATCCAGCTGCTGATCATGTGAAGAGATAAAAAATACTGCTGAAAAAAACCATCTCATCCTAACGCAAAAACTTATCAAAAAACTTGTTTTTTCGAGATCGACTTGTTTCCATTAAGTGAATTAATTTTCATTATTTCAGTTTGTGCATTTCTATGGTTTTGGAAACGCAGCTACAGACGCATGTCTGTGAGGCTGCAGCAGCTGCACACTGCAAACACACAAACCTGGGAAAGCTTCCACATCCTCATCAATGCTGAGAAGCAAACAAGCTCAAATAAGAGACAGTGCATACATAGTTGCAAACATGCATGCCTCTAGAAGCTGCTGCAACACACCTAATGCATCGCTGTGCATGCAGAAATCCAAACCCTTACGTCTGAGGGTCTCTGCTCTTCCTCGGCTCGCCACCGGCTTCACCCTGCAGCCGGATGCATCCGACTGCATTTTTCAGGCTGCAGACTGAAATGGTTTGTTTCAAACTGCGCTGACCCAGCAGACTGACACGCCAACACACAGATGGCTGAGGGCTGCTCTCCGGGTCAAAGGTTAAAGCGGGTTCACCTGTGAGGCTCCTGGAGGAGCAGAGTTCAGCTGAAGGGCTGATCATGTTTAGTCAAATGTTTGGTGTTTAAATTGATCCTGGTGTTGCTCGGTGGCGCCCCCTGCTGTAACGACTCGGCTCTCGTCTGCTCCCTCCTCAGGTGACCTCCGGGTTCAAGTCCAAGTCCATGTCGGCGGCGCTGCCGCCTCCCTTCCTGGACCCACTCTTCTCCATCTCGCTGATGGAGGACAGCGAGTTGAGGCAGCTGGTCCTGGAGATCCTCCACAACATCATTGATCGCCATGACAACCGCGCCAAGCTGCGCGGCATCAGGTAACGGCGCGGTCGGACGATCTCCTCCCTGCTCTCTGAGCGACGGACTCAGGTTTGGTTTCCTCCCTCCTGCAGGATCATTCCCAACGTTGCAGCTCTGAAGATTAAAAGGGAGAAAATATCCAAGCAAGATGTTGCATTCATGAAAAAGGTAAAAAGTAGATAATTAGGTTTCACTTCAAACTATTTTCCACAGTTAATTTGTAGCCAAAGCCCAAAGTTCACTTCTACCGAAGCCAGACCGAGGCTAGTAGGACCAGAGGTCGATTAGCGTTCACACCTCACCAACTGAACCGGACTTTCTAACAAACAGACTGGAGTCGGATTAAAGCGGATTAAACGGGGCTGGTGGGAAAGATTCAGCCTCAGATCCCAGGAAAGGTGAAACTTAAGCTGCTGAGAAAAATAAAGAACAAAGTTTTCAGGTTGTAGAGCTCGGTTTGCATGTGAAGAAGCTGTTCCATGGAAAGGTAATCTCTCCATGCGTTACCCTCTCAGCATCCATGGGGAAGGTAATGGGGATTATTTTATTATTCATTATTCTGATATTAATCTGCAGCGCTTCTTGGATCCACAGTCCTTGAATTGACTCGGATAGAAGAGTTGGATGAATTGCTTGTATAAAAAGAGAAAATCAGTTTTAGAGAGAAACTGACCTTTTTTTGAGAGAGCAGAGACCAAATCCTATGAACTGGGTTCCAGCCTGGGAGGAAATCTGAAATGTGCGGCTGGTTTCCGTTTAGGAGCCCTGCGAGCTCGCTGACCCCGACAGGAAGTGGCCGTTCAGCCTCAGATCGTGACATTTCCCTCAAGACGCTGCCGGCTGAACAGGTTGACCCGTGATTCTCGCACCAGCTGCAGCCTGCAGAACCGGAACCAGCACCGGTTCTGCTTTAATGGAACCCAATGTAACTCATTAGAGGCGGCTTTGCTTTCCATTAACCTGCCCTGGTTATTTATTTCATACTCGACCTGCAGCTTACAGCCAGAAACGACTGGATTCACTGAATCTTAGCAGGAAAGAGTCTCTTTACAGCAGGGTCAGTAATTTGGCATTTAAGTTTCCAAGTAAAGCCGATGTGTTGAAATAAGCTGTTTAAAGAATCTAAAAGAAAGATATTCTGTTAAACTGCAGTAAATTCTCACATCTTTAGAAGATCCCAGACTCATTTGTTGATCAAACTGTTGACTGTTTTTAAAACCGTCGTGTTTCCTTGGACGCTGCCCCCTGCTGACTGAACGTCGGCAGCGGATCAGACCTTAATGTTTGCCATCCTTCACTGTCAGGCGGCTTCGTTTCTGTCCAGCAGCTGTTAAGAGGCTATTAATGAGACGCATCGTCCCACCAGGAGACTCGACGCTTCATTAGCACCGACACAAACAGACCCGTTTGTTTGCTCCAGTCCCACAAACGACGGTCGGTCTGTTGTTTCTGCCAGGAATTAGACAGATCCCTGATGCGTGTTGAGTTCTTTCTGCTTCCAGAGGAGGAGAATGGAGGATGCTGGGAAAAAAGCAGAATAAAGATCCGTTTAAATCGTTCCTCAGGTTCTGTTTGCTTGCGGTAAACGCATTCACGGACCGAACAAAATGTTTCCAAAAAGCAGCCAGAGTCCAAGGAAAACCTTTCAGAGAGCATCGGTCTGGAGGACGGTTCTGTACGTCTGACTTTGGGTCGATACCAGGAGTCATGTTGGGTCCTGGTTGGTCTCCACTCTTTGCTTTAGCAGGCTCCATATCTGAAGTCTGGTCTTGGTTAAAGATGGATCCAAAGTGAAGTTTTCTCATTAATAGAACTGATTTTGTAAATGCGAAGTTTTGTAATTTGAGTCGGGTGGAGAGGCCAACGCTGCACGAGGCTCCATGATGCTCCTGGTGGTTTGAACGTTTCTGAACATCCAGGAAGAAATAAAAGATTTCACTGAAACGTTGAGCTCGGATGTTTCAGCCTTTAACGTTCTCGTCTTCGTTTCCCTCCCAGCACGGCCAGCAGCTCTACCGCCACGTCTACCTGGGCTGCAAAGAGGAAGACAACGTCCACAAGAACTTCGAGCTGCTCTTCACCACGCTGGCCATCCTGACCATCGAGCTGGCCAACGAGGAAGTGGTCATCGACCTGATCCGCCTCTCCGTCGCTCTGCAGGTGAAGCTCATCACACTCTGGTCATTGGGACCCAGGATGTAGCCTGATCCCAGGACTGCAGAGGGCCTTTCTAGAACTTACTGCATGTTTTCCTGGAGCTTGCAGATGGTATTTCATTGAAAAGGTTCTTATAATGTTGCAGCTGTAAGACGGAGTGACTTGTAACTTCATTATGAGGCGATTATCGTACCATGTGCTGGTACCATGTGCTGGTACCATGTGCCGGTACCATTTGCCGGTACCATGTGCCGGTAGCATTTGCCGGTACCATGTGCCGGTAGCATGCCGGTAGCATGTGCCGGTAGCATGTGCCGGTACCATGCCGGTACCCTGTGCCGGTACCCTGTGCCGGTACCCTGTGCCGGTACCATGTGCCGGTACCATGTGGGTTTCAGGAGAGTTGACTGTCAGTTCTAGCAAAGTTCAGAGTCAGGTTTGGGAGTAGTGTGAAGGTCCGTTTACAGCAGCCTGCTGGTTCTGGTGAAGTGGGCTATAAGTTCAGAGGGAGAAGCTTGATTGGGTTCTGGGAAAAAGACGCATCAGTTCTTGCACAGATCAGAGTAGATCGCAGGGTTTGGATAACGACTCGTTCAGGAGGTTTATGCTGATTTTTGTCCTGATTTCCTCCAATAATCTTCAGAACCGTCCCGACTATCAGGTCGGTTCTGATCCTAACTGATATCCTGCGTGTATTCAGACTGATCTGGACCGCTCCCATCTAAAGTCCAACATGTTGGATCGTCTCGGCCCGATGTCTGTGTGTGGCATTCCTTGATAACGAACGAGAACCTGTTGAGCGATCAGAAAACAAGGTGACGGAAACACAGACGACAAAAATACTGACATGATGGACAGAAAGTCCATTAAATATAATCACTAACTATCGCCATCACGTTAGTCGGCCATGTTTGTTTATCCTGAACTCAGATTTCTCATCTGACATCTGAATGTTGGTGATGAATCGGTTTGTTGCTCACAACAAACCTGTTATACTGAAGGTTTTTACCACTAGACTGTTCAATCAAAGTAGCCTCAGCAGGTCCAGCAGCAGGTTGGACCCAGGAGAGTAAACCAGAACCAGGGCACGTTGATTCTGGAAATGTAGCCTGAGAGTCCAGGTAGAGTAAACTTTTATCACTGTTCTGGAAGCAGTTCTGTGTTTTCTGGGAAAGTCTCCTGTAACTCCTGGGTGTCTGGAGTGTGATTGGATCAGCCACATCATGCGTTATGTAATGTTGCGTCAGCCTGCAGAGAAACGGTTGCACAGCTTCATGTTGGGCTCTTTATGCTGGAGTTGTTGCCTGGACAACAGCCTTTATTCTGACAGATTGACGCAGTCGGCGTGTTGCAGAAACCTGCTCTGTAAGCGTCTTCCTGCTTCCTGCAGGAAATGGCTCTGAACAACGAGGAGAACATGCCGATGTCCATCCGCTGTGGCATCATGGCGCTGGTGGCGGCGTACCTCAACTTCCTGAGTCAGATGATCGCCAACCCGCCGTTCTGTCAACACGTCAGCAAGGTGCGTCATCTACCGAAGCCACTGCTGGTTACATGGAACATGTTGGTGTTTTTGTTAGCATCGGATCCTCCTTCCTGCTTTAGCTTCACTCCCAAGTGTCTTGGAATCATAATTCTGGTGATTGGTGCCTCTTCAGGTAATCGAGCTGAGAAACATGGACGCTCCGTACCTCCTGCCTGAACACATCTTCAGAGACAAGTGTCCGTAAGTATTCACTCTCCAGCAGGTCTGAGACCTAAATCAGAAGGATTCGTTGGTTCCTAACCTGAGTCTTCATCTGAATACATGATGGAGCCGCCATGTTTGTTCAGCAACTCGCCACAGACCAACATGAAACCCTGTTATTTTATTTCTCCTGTTAGAATCACTCTACATCTAATAAACATTACAGTGAGTTTGGTAATATTTATTTAAAAACAACGGCAGTCCTCCACCTTTCCACCAGATGGCACTAAATGGTCATCAGTTGACCTTTAATTCTGTATGAGAGGAATATAATAACTAAACCTGAAAGTTCAAGATCTGCTGATGAGACCAGGTTTAGGTTTTACGGCCTTCACATCGTGTTTATTTACTGATTAATGCTTTGCTGTCGTCCTCCAGTCTTCCTGAGTCTTTGGACAAAGACGACAGGCAGCTGTATTTCCAGACGGCGGACATGGCGGAGTGCCTGGCAGGCCCAGGATACAACGCGGAGAGGTTGTCCATCCCTTACATTCCCCAGGTCACAGGTACGACACCCTCCTTCTGTAATGTTCACACCTGTTGGGATCGATCAGTAAAAAATACTTAAAGCAATTCAAGATCGCAAATGTTTGACATTTCCTTTTTAAAATGACGGAAGCACCAGTGCAGTGTGTAACTACTGACCAGAGCAGCAGCTGTATGGACAGATGTGGCTTTAGAGGTGCTGCAAAAATCACATCCAGTGTTAAAGTACTGTTGAACTTACAAGGTGCTTTCTAGAACTTTCCTGGTCCTTACAGAGGAATAATATGAACCAACTTGATCAGTACTTGATCAGGCTAAATTAACGTCTGTCTTATGACTTCAGCTTTTTTAAAAGTATTGCTGGCAATTTTCAGAGGTTTATAAAGAATGTGGAACTGACACAATTGGTTTAACAAATAAAACACCTAAAATATAAACATGAACTGTAGAAAATTGTCTAAAATGATGCATAAGACATCAATATGTTATATTAAAGTATGAAGAGTAAAAATGAAGTGTTGGTTGATTTGAATCTGTATTTTTGCTCTAACTAAAACTTTCGCTCTGTTCCTGCTGCGTCGTGTTCAGTTCTTTACACGGTAGGAAAAATCATCCACAGGTGCAAGCAGACGTCCAGAGGTAAAAGCTGCTGTAGAGCCGCAGTAGATTTCTGTAGATTTAGTTTCCGTAGGTAAGACATGAGCTCAGTTTAGCTTGAGACTTCCTGGGTAAAGTCCCTGTAGCGCCCTCCTTCCTGCCGAGGATTCGAGTGTTCTGATTGGTCCGCTGATCAGGCTCCGCCCACATGGTTTATTCAGCTAAAATCTGAAAATCTTGAAGGAGTTTCTCTGGATGCAGTTTGGCTTCACCACCAAAGATTTTACTCAACTACGAGATGCATCACTTTGATATATTTATGCAAGAAAAGACCAGAATAAGAGTAAATAAATATTTGTATAAAAAACGCAATCAGACGAAAATAATTACTTCAAAAATAATATTACTCAGAGGTATGGTTTTGTAAAACTTCAATTAGAGGTTAACTTATATAAACTGAGGTTATTAATCTGTAGAATATGAATGAAGGAAAGTTTGTTTTTAGCTGCTCAGATCAAAACATCCAAATCTTTTCATAAACCATCAGGAAAAACTGACAAACTATTAAAAAATAAACCAAAAGCAAAGAAGCTGATTATGTTGTTTTAGTCTGTAAAACACTTTAACAACTTGTTTAATTATTTTACCTGCTTTGCGTCTGGACTCGTGGTGGTGAGTATGTCAGGATGTAGTTCATGTCAGTAGTTTGGCAGCTGAAATGTGTTTGGCACTAATCTGCTTTTATTTTAGAGTAAAATAAATTGTTTCCTTTTGGTTTAGCAACATGACTTTAACCACTTTCACATCACCATCTATTGAAAGCTTTAATATTCTTATATCAGGGTAAATGTACTAGTTGTAACTCCACAACGTTCACTGCTGTAAGTTTTACCAAAAATAATGAAAGTGTGAGCAGAAGAGCCTCCTGGTGTCTCCAGGCGACGTCTTTCACACGAGGAGAAAGTAGATGAGGATACAGAGACTCTGTTTATTTACATTAGTTTAAAAAAATCACACAATCAGAATCTGTGTGACATTTTCACGTCTTAAACCTGAATGATCTGCAGGAAAACAAATAAACAACTTAAACAGATTGTGGAGAAAAATTCAAAGCTGTTTGGGTCAAATTAGTTTACATGTTTTAATCAGGGGAAGCCAAGTGTGCCAAATGTTTTCAAAGTCAGCACAAAAAGTGATCTCCTTCATTAGCTGAAGTTTTCCACCACTGTGTTTTACGTTTCTGCTGTGAGGAGGAGGAGTTTATTACTTTTACTTCCTGTTGTAAAATAAATGTTTCTGTTTTTAGCGTTTTGCTGCTAGCAAAGCTTCATGTGGGAAATACTTTCCTGTGCATTTTTATCTCAATCTGCTTTGGTTGTAGTGATATTTTTAAACTCCGTGCGGATGCTAAGAAAAATACACAGAACCGTTTTCAGCACTGCAGTGAGATTTTCTGAAGATGATGTTCAGAAGTGACCTGCAAACTATTTTCTTTCATCAGATTTTCTCTTTAAACGGCGTAAACGATGTTCTTCCTGCTGGAGTTTCAGCCTGTGAGGCTTTTCTCTGCTTTCCTCTGAATTTTAAAGAGTTTATGAAACATAAAGAGCAAATGTCAGTGAAGTAAGAGCCCGGCTTTCTGCGCGTCTTTAATCTCCCGTCTTTTGGGACGGCGTTCCTCATTAGTGCCGACTGCTGAGTCATTCCTGCTCCGAGTTCGCAGCAAAGGTCGCCGTGACTCATGGAGAAAGTTAATTATAAGGCGCCGCGTTTCTCTTCTGTTTTCACACCTCGGCTGACCCTGCTCCGTCAAACTCTGCTGCACTTTAATCTCCTCCTGCACAACAACAAACAGCGGGGCAGCTTTCAGAACCTCACCGGACTCGGTTCGGCCCGGACGAATCCCATTTGTTCCCCTACAGAAAACCGGAGCGCTGCGGCTGAACCTCAGGAGTTTCTGTGTGTTTCTGCTCACAGACATAAAATAACTTCTATAAAACCACACAGCTGTGAGAAATGTTTAAAAACTTCATTATCTAGAACGATTAGTATATTACTTTCTACAAATATTTGATTATAAGTAATTTCATCTTCAACAATATTCATTAGTTTGTTTTTAACCATTCAATTTTAATATAAAATGGGCATATTACATTACTTAATTCATTATATTTCACTACTTTATTTTATGCAAAACTTGCCTTTTTCTTTTTACGCAAAACTCAAAGGAAGCGACGGCTTGGAGACCTAACAGACAGGCACTCTACTGAGGGATTTAAAAGCTCCATGGTGTGTTGGTGATGAGGAATCTAAACTTCAGTGTCATTTCTGCTCCAGTTCTGACCAGCATTTTTATTCTGATTGGAGTTTAAATCAGCAATGTGAAGCAGAGCAGCAGTAAATGGAAGCAGCTAAAAGTCTGTTTTTAGTCTGCAGGGTTTCACTGCTTCACAGTAAAACGTTATTATGGGAACACAGATGGTCAGACTGTTTGACTCCAGTTGTCACACAACAAAATGTCATTTCGCTCTGCAAAGCTAAAGCTCATCATCAAACCACTGATTTGTACAAAAATCTGTCATTCATTTGGCTCAGACACTGAGAAACAACCTGCTGTTGCAGCAAATTAGCACAACTTAACGTGCAGAAAAAACATTTAGAGAAATCAGTTTGTTGTTTTCTAACAATCGATGCCTGCAGACATTTTGTTCAGATTGACTTTTTCCAATTTGAAATGTCGGTTCAGTTCGTCCAAACGATTCATCACCTCTCCACAAATGGTCTGCTTTAGAAATGCTCTCTCAATGTTCAGTCATTATGTCAGGAGATGCTTTCAAATTACTGATCTGCTCTGGAAAATGGAGGAAAATCCAGCAGTGATTTGTTTTAGTTCTGATGCCATTTTTAGTTTTGCTCCAAAATATGATGAAATATTCTCCTGAAGCTCTTTTTATCTGACGCAGCAGTTGAATGATGTAACTGTCTGTTGCAGATGAAGACCGTCTGACCCGCAGGAAGAGTTTTGTGGACACCATCTCTCTCCAGGTGGACATCATGTCCAGCAGCCTGCCAGATAAGGTCCGACCCAATTTATGACACAATCACGTATGAAAAGATAAAAATGAGTTTTAAGCTGATTCATGTGAAGAGTTCCCGCTGAATCACATTGTCTGGGTTTCTCCCACCAGCAGCCGGAGCTGGCTGAGGAGATCACGTTTGAGACCCTGAAGAAGGCCATCGGTGAGATCCTCCAGCTCCTCCCGTCTCACAGAATGATTTTAGTTTTCTGTTTACAGTTATGATGAGCTTTAAAGCCTTCTGTTTGTACTGATGTGATGGTTTCCATTTTGGGCCAAACGGCTCCACCGTCGCTGTTCCAGAGGTTTTGTGAGCCTAAACTTCGCTGCCATATTTATTTCCAAACACCGCACTGGTCCAGTTTTTCTCTAACTTTTGCTGAATGTGGGGTTAGTTGGACTTTAAGGTACGCTGACGAGCTAACATCAATGTTACGGTTGAGCTAATTTCTCAGCTGATGCTTCTGCTGTTTCTGTTTCATCAAAATGTGCAGAACATTTAGTCAGAACCTGACGTGTCGTATTCCTGTCTCATGAAAGCGATGTGATCGTCTTGCAGACACGACCGGCTTGGAGGAGCAGGAGAGGGAGAAGAGGCGTCAGGTGATGGAGAAGTTCCAGAAAGCTCCGTTTGAGGAGATCGCTGCCCACTGCGAGTCCAAGGTGGGAAACCAGGACGGTTAACAGAACCGGGTCCTAAACATCTGAACTCTGAAACTCTCACCAAACGTCGTTAGGCGTTCAGTCCAGGACCTCAGTGACTCTCTCCTCCCTCCCTGCAGGCCAACATGCTCCACGACCGCCTGGCCCAGATCTTTGAGCTCACCATCCGGTAAGACTTCAATCAGAAACGTTTCTTTGCTTTACTGGAACTTCAGATGCATTGTTCAGGATTTCCAAAGAAGATTTTATTATTTAGAGCAAAATATTAGTGAATATGCCAAAGATAACAAAACAATAATTTATGGGGGAAAACAATAACTGGCTCTGTATTGTTCACTTATGAAACTAAAACATACTGAAATTATAGATATAATATTCTTCATTTTCATGTTTATGACTGTATTTATTAGCTTTTTGAGCTGATGTGAAGTTATTATGACACTCCCATGTTCCTCCTAGCAACACTTTACCTGGCAGCAAAACGGCAAAAGTTTTGATTAAACACTGAAGTGGTTCAATAATTAACATGTTTTGAAAATGTCGTCTTCTGCTGACTCTTCATTACCCAATGTAAACATAACCACAATATTTTTTTAATTTGGCACCTAAAAATTAAAGTATGAAAAAAGTAAAATTACCACTAGAACTAAATAAACTAATGAAGACAAGCAGCTGCACTGTAAAACCAACTAAACGTAACTGAATTTGACAAAAGTCATAAAGAAATGAAACAAAAAGTCAGAAACCCAGTAATAAACCAGTGAAACCAGTATGGGATGTTTTTCTCCATGGTGATGCGTCTCTCCCTGCAGGCCGCCGCCCAGCCCGTCCGGCGTGGTTTCCATCTCAGCCGGTCACACCCAGCATCCGTCCGTTCCCGTCTACGAGATGAAGTTCCCGGACCTGTGCGTCTACTGAACGACTCAAAACATCAACAAAGGCCACCTCCGCTTTTCCTCCAATCAGCGCGCTGCGAGGCGGCAGGGAGCCAATCAGAGACTCGGACATGCTGACCCGGCTGCACGTCGTTTCTCTGATTCGCGTCCCTGAACCCAAACGGTCGAACAGAACAAAACCAGAACAACGCAAACCGCTTTATGCTCCATGTCGATGCTTCACGCAGTGTAGAAAAACCAAACGATCCTGTTAGATAAAAACCACCTGCAGGTTCAGCAGCTTCTTAGCAGAGCATCCAGTAGAACAGCTGATGGATTGGCCCGATCGTCTGTATTTACCCATAAAACACTAACCAGTTCAGTTCAAACGGCTCCCGGTTGGTGAAACGGATCCAGCTTTCATTCCTGAAGCTTTTTAAGGATTTGAAGATTTACAAAATCACAACTTTCACAATGATTCTTGGATTAAAATTCTCAGTATTTGTTTGGTCTAGGAAGTCGGTGAAACGGGATTTTGTCGGTCAGATTTTCCAGGAATAACTTAGAAATAAACTCAACTAGTCTTGTTTTTACTTGGAGAACAAAAAGATCAGTTTCCAAATATTTCAGAACCAGATGATTAATTTTCAAAATAACACATTTTTCCAGAACCATAAGGTCCAAAAATAAATCTTTGTTTACAGATAATAATGAATACTGTGATGGTAAAATTAACATAATTCAACAAGTTTTCTTGTTTGTCTTAATTTTTTTCTGCCCTCTGTGTTCATAGACTAAAATAATTTTTTTCTTAATCACAACACAGCCACTAGAACTGTTGGTGTAAAATTCATTCATGTTTAGCTTTTTAGGGATAAGGCAAAACCTTGACATATTTTACTTTGTCTTGTGAATTACGATGAAATATTTTAGATCTGATGGAAGAAATATTTCTTCAGAGTTTAATGTTTGACCAAAATAAACAATTTTTATGAACCTTGAGATAAAAATCCAACATGGCTGCAACATATTTAACAAAGTGGAAACAACCGCAGTCATAATTAATTTTTGCACTTCTGTTTTCAACCCGTTTACTTTCCCAGTCTGTCCGTCAGGCTCCAACATAAACACCAGCGTCATGCAGTTCAGCACATGGACAACAGGGGGCAGTGCATCACAATTTAAGGACTTAAAGCGCTAGCTTGTTTGGCTACTGCCTGACCAGCTAACTGGCTAAAGATGCGACACTTTCCCACCATAACGTCGTATTTACGGCACCATGGTGGTTTTAGGAAGGCTGCTCTTCTACCAGAGTTCGCTTCCAGCTCGGTTCACCAGGCGGGCCGGGATTAAAACCGCGGGATTAGTTCCAGATTATGAGGTATGTCAACGGCTTCGTGAGCCTCATCAACACTTTAAATCAAAGCTGCATCGATATTCCTGGAGTTTCTTAAAGCAGGTTTAATAAAATCTTAGAGGTTGTTGTCATGGCTACTAAACCCGAAGGTGTAAAGTTTGCAGAAGTGGGTCGGTTCTGAGTGTGGAGGTTCCTGGTTCTGGTCGGGCTGCAGCTGGTTTTGTAATCCTCTGGTCTGATCAGGACTCCAGGCTGAAGGTCAGACATGAGCAAACGATCCGGGCACATCGAGCTGGATCTGGTCCGAATCGTTTCCCGGTGGTTCTGTCGTACGTTGAGCTCGTCGTGTTTCCTGAAAAGTGAATTTTGATGGTTTTTATTCACCAACCTGAGCCTGTTTAAGCTGAACTGTAGATTGGTTTCATTACTTTAACTAGACCAAACCTGCAGAACATCTGTTAGGAGTTCAGAAAGAACCGCTGACTGTCGCTGAGTTCTGGTCCAAAAGATGGAAACGGATCAACATGGGGACTCCTGAAGGTGCAGTACCAACTGTGACCACCAGGAGTCGGTTATTATTACATTATGTACTGAAGTTAAAGCTAATGGTAGCAGAGCCGCTCTCCTCTAGAACTGACAGGTTAAGATGCTGGAAAATAAGTTAATCCTGCAAAACTTTCAGCTCCTGAAATCTAGAAGTAAATATTTTACAGATTTTTCAAATGCTTTCTAGCAACTAGATATTCACAGTCTGGTGTTTCTCCACCAGTGTCTTTCCATAACCTTGGTGGCTGATATAAAAGGTACTGGGCGGTTTTTACCGGGAGCCTGTTCAGTTTTTACCTGAGTTTCCTGGAGATGAGACTTTAACTTCAGGGACGGTTTGTTTTAGGAACCTGAGGTTCTGGGAGAGGACGGGCTGCTTCATCTCAACGTGATCCACATCGTTGTCTAGTCTAGTAATAATTTACCTGTGCAGCTGTAAGGAGAGCCGAGCAGGTCGAGATCGTCCACCAGCTTCTGTACAGAACCCGATCCAAAATCAGGTCGAACCGGAGCAAACTGAGCCGGTTGTGAATCCCGACCTTCCCAAACTAACAGCATGATTCGTTCTTTATATATAAAATGGGCTGTGAAACCCGATCCGTCTAGAACCCGACGTTTCACCGCCCGGCCCGGCCCGGTCCGGAGACTGGCTTGTTTTAGACGTGGCTGGAAAACGTGATGAATGTCGCTGACGCAGCAGATCGTATATTTTTGTACATTTTATGCATCACATGGTTCAGTTGCTGCCTGGTAGATTTCAGACATATCACTGAAAAAATGCTGAATCATCGTTTCTTGTTTATCGTCGCTGAGCCTTTGAATCGGATCATGAATCTTTGAATCGGATCATGAATCTTTGTCTCGAATCATAGAAATTATTTTGATTGAAATGAGCTGTTATAGTTTTATTTAGATTTAAACCTTTTTTCACCAGATTGTCGCCGTTTGGTCAGAAATCATGTCAAACTGGGATCAGTTCACCAGCACAGAAACCCGCCACCTGACCTCCGGGTTTGGACCACTCCTTGCTTTTTGCACATGAATGTTTGTCAGTATTAGCGGCTGAGTGGAGGAGAGACCAGCTCTGTCATTTCAAACCCAAACGGATCGCGGTTCCCCCGTTTGCACTTAAAACGGTTCTGAGGCACAAAAACGGCACAACGGTACGAATGGAAATGTTTTTATGTTCAGCTGGTTCCTTACTGTGGGACGGCCCAGGATGGAGCCGCTCGTTTCCACGGCAACAGCGAAACCTTCTCGTTTTATTCGTCTGTGGTGCAGCAGTCTGTGTTCTTGTGCCAGTTTTAGAGAAATGTCTCGTCTCTGTTCACCTTCAAAGATAAAACACTGACGCTCAGAGTTGTTGATCAGTGATTTATGACCACTAGATGGCGCCACGGCTCAGCTCTTCCTGCAGGTTCAGGAAATGTCGTGTTTTTGTTCTGGACTCACTAACCTGAACTTAAACACTGGATGATTGGCTTGTATGATGTCATTTCCTGAACCTGAGCTGCAGCAGAGCCTCAGCGTTACGATAATGTCTCAGAATGTGTTGAAATGTGATGTTGGAGATTCAAATAAAATGTTTCTATTCAAGTGTTTGAGTTGCAACGTTTTCTGTGGTTGGTTTAGTTTTCTTCCTCCTCCTCTGCTTCCTCCTCCTCTTCCTCTGCCTCCTCTTCCTCCTCTGCCTCCTCCTCCTCTCCCGGTCTCTCCGCCGGTTGCCGCTCTTGGTTCTGAACCCCGCTGACCGTCTGCAGCTCTTTGGTCTCAGCTCTCGATGGTCCGGCCGGAGTCGGCGTCTCTTCATTCATTACATCAGAACTTTGATCACTGCAAACAGACATTTGTTTTAATTAAATATTAAAACTACTCCTGTAGAAATAAAGTTGTTTTGGAGCCGCACACTAAAATAAATAAAAAGTAACATTTTATTTATTCCAACAGTAAGGAATTGCTGACTAAGATTTAATAAAGGAGATTTTATCACCTGCTGAAGCTGGTTGTAAGTTCTTCACAGGACCCAGTTCCACTAATAAAACGTTAGAAAATCCCTTTAACTGGATCTATAAGAAGGTTCTTCGAGGTGGAACAGAATGTAGAAAATGAAATGGACCCGAGCCGTCGGCCCTGAGGTTCTCCGTATCCCACCTGTCTGAATACTGAGCAGAACTCGTCTCAGGCTCCTCAGACCGGCTGGGTTTGCTCTCCTCACTGGACCGGGCCGGTTCCGCTGCGGGCCTGCCGGCCCGGCGGCAGGGCGGCGCCGGGCCGCGGCAGCGCTGCGACGGCAGGCTGTGGTTGAAGTGCGCTGCAGCCATGCACTCTGCTGTGGTTTTATCGCACACACACTGCAGTTTGTCGCACACTGTGACGCCCCGACCTGCAGAGGAAATGGAAACGAGGATTCAGAATCTGGACGACATCAGAACCTCCTGCTAACATCTTCAGAACCTTCATGACTTATTAAAGCACCGATGGAGGCTGTGGGAAGTGACTTCTATGCTCTGAGACATTTTGCCTCCTTAAAGAGAAATGGGTTCCAGGAAACAACCTGTGAAGTTTGAAACATAAAGCAGTCTGCATTTTCTTCCTCTGCATTTTCTTCCTCTGCATTTTCTTCCTCTGAACTGCTGGAGTTCAGGTTCTGGGTTAATAGCAGGAAAGTTCAAGGAAAGCAACCTGCACTTCTTATAAAAGCATTAAACTGAAAGTCACATTTGTGATCTTTGAACGCATCTTTAGGTCCAATTTTACAACGTCTAACTTTAAGAGAGGACCCGGTTGGTCCCGGGTTGAGGACGCAGCCTGTGGGTTCAAAGTTCACACGTTGCAGAAAGCAGCTTCCAGGTTGAAAACAGGAACGTTCCAGAACAGGAAAAACTTTTTAAACCCATTCTGATGGGCTCATAATCCTCTTCTGCGTTCTGATTTATGCTGAATGTTGAGAAGTTTATCTCACTCACATCGCGGTTTGTTGCGGCTCTCGCAGGAAATGTGAGCGTTGAGCTTCCTGTCGGCTCGGCAGCCCATGGAGCCGATCTGGTTCAGGCAGCAGCGATGGAAGAAGCAACATCTGAGGAGCAGAGCAGCTTTCAGGCTTCAGCTCAGAAACCATCACTGAGTTATGCAGGAAGTAACTACTAAACATGCTGGGAGTCGTTACCATGGATACAGCATCGTTACACATTTTACCTGCGTTTAGTTAACTTTAGGAAATAAATGCCTCCAAAAAACAGCAGAAATAAAGAAAAATCAGGAACAACAAATGGGTTAAAAGACTGAGAAAAATATATACATCACTTTGAATTTATTACTTTTTAATGTAATGTTTCTGCATTTAAGAATCAATTTTTCAACTTTTACCAAACATTTTTCTCAGAGAAAAAATTCAGAAATTTCAAGTTAAAGGCAGAAAAATCAAAGTTTGTATTAGATAATTATTTTAATGTTTAAAATGTGTTTAATATTTTAGTTGGAATAACTATTTAACAGTATTAAAATGTTTTAAAAATGCTTCTATTAAGACAATATAAATGTTTATATTAAAATCTGAAATATAATTAAAATACTTAAAATGTTTATATTCAATATTTGATAATGAAAATAAATTTTTAGAATGCTTATTAATATTTAAGATGTTTATTTTTAATATTCACATTTCATATGTATTTATGTTTATTTTTATACTTTTTATAACTTTGTGCCCATTTATCAAAGAGAAAATTTACATTTTAAATATAGTTATTTTTCAGTAATTATTCCTATCAAATCTGAAAATTGGTCAGGCTTGGAGACATTAATGATTCTAAAAAATTCCAATTATAAAGTTTTTAAAAAAGCAATAAATTACCGAATAATGAATGAATGTATTTTATGTAAATAACTTCCCACGGGGCGTGCTGACCTGTCCAGCTGGTCCAGAGGAAGTCCCGCCCCTTCCTGTCCGCAGTAGCAGCCGTACATCTCGTACTCGTGCGGACATCGCCCCGTCAGGCAGCGCAGCATCTCCCCCAGCGCCGGCAGCTCCCTGCGGCTCCGGCCGTCGCCGCCGTACACTCTGAAGGAGGAGCTGCATTCTGATTGGACGACACATTCAGCAGCTCATGTGATAAACGTCTCACCGCCAGCGACGGGCGTCCTGAGGCCCAACCTGCGGCTCACCTCGGCCGCCCGGCAGCTGGATGTCGGTCAGACCGACGGACTCCAGCAGAGACCAGGCGAAGAACGGCACCGCCCTCTTCGGACCTGGCTCCACCCTCTTCGGACCTGGCTCCGCCCCTAATGACAAACATCAGCAGGTTCACCTCCTGTGAGATGTTTAATCTGTGATTTATGAGCTTCCCACCACTAAAGGGTCAGAGGTCAACTGATTATCCTCCTCAGACAGTTAACTCTGTACGTAGCCCTCATGTGACCCCACACTTCTACTAAGGCAGCCATCTTGGTAGG